AAGAGTATTTTATAAGCTGTAACAGTATTTGGATAAATTCTTGATAGTATTATTCTTAAATATAAATTGTAGTACATCGTATGATCCGAATACATGGAATAACGAAGGAAAGCTATACGTCTTTTAATTTATTATTCGTTCAATGAGAATTACGATGCATTTATGAAATAAGTAATCAAATAAATAAACAAATGTACAATCAATTTACGTTTCACAACAAACGAATAACTATTTGATTGAATAAGATTCGCGAATACATCATTATACGGAGTTTTTGTTCCATAGAACGCATATATAAAAATTTTCTTTCAAGTACAGCACACGATATTTTGTCGTAATATTCTATGACGTTTCAGCTGAAAAATGTAATTGAAAAATTGGCGTTACGACGTGTGGCGTAACCCAACATTTTACGTTTCTCAAGGACACGAATGTGTAGTAATACAATGTATAATGCAGAATAAAGCAGAGTGCACGTAAGAGTCGAAACGCAAGATCCGTGATACAACAAATTGCTACGGCCACTGCCGTGCGCGGCAGCAATTAAGAATCACCTGTGTTCTGCAGAAAAACCACGAATAATGCCGATTCGTCGTGCCAGTTCGCGATAATTTTCCCAATAGCCGCGCGAACAGATGCTATTTTCCACGAAACGAGCTTGTTTTCGAACCACCGGATCGCATCGCGTGCAACGAGACAGTCGAGCCATTGTCGGTACAGATGACTGATACGTCTCGTTGGCCATGAAATACCCCGAATCAGAAGTTGTTGTTTTTAGAAGAAATAAACCTCTGTTTTCATTAAATATCGAGTCGCTTTAACATTATCGCAAATACATTCGTAACGAGCTCCACTGTCGGAGACTTCAATGCCGTTCGATAGTAGCCATCACAGTTGAACCACTGTTCAAGTCTGACCACGCAGCTTGGTCTTCTATATCTCTCACTGTGATACATTTTAGAGAAATTGTGATGTGCCAGCTAGAGATTAGAGATCCCTACTTCACGTGCATCGAAATACACGGGTACAATATCCAATTATTTTTATATACAAACTTTTACATAAAGATGCTATTATTCTAAAATAATGATCTTTATTCATTTTGAAAAAATTGATATGCAGTAAAATAAATAAATAAATAAAATATAAACATAAGAAGAATAAATATTTGTAAAACTTTATTTACTAGTAAAAATAAATATTCAAGTCACGGGTAACAATAGATAATTCGATGTATGCGTACGCGTGTATTTCGATACCCGGGTACCCCTGTATTAAAAATACCCGTGTTCTTAATCCCTTAATACACGATACACGATACCCGTGTATTTTAATACCCGTTCAAAACCGTGATCTCTAAATTGCCTACCACTCGTCGAATATAGAATTTCATAATATTCTCACGGAACATAATTTCATTCAAAAACGAGGTTAAGGGAGTGGACTCCCGTGCCTTGTATGCACTCGTACGCACTCACACAGCTCCGCATCACTGTATACGTACACGGAACTGCAAGGGCTTTCGTATTGTCCTATTTTTGTCTCGACTATGCAAATTTAAGACCTCTCAATAGTCGTTTCCGCTAGATAAATGTTCAAACTTGTGCGCAAGCTCTTATAGGTAGTCTACTTTTGCTTTTTTGTGTCATAATTAACAATATTCAGCAGCATATGTTTCAGCAGCGTTAGTTCAAACAACGCGGCAGCACTGTCGCACCACCATATTGCTTCTTTTGATCGCGAAACACTGCTGAATATTATTAATTATGACAGAAAAGAGCAAAAGTAGATTACCTATAGGAGCTTGCGCACAAGTTTGAACATTTATCTAGCGGAAACGACTATTGAGAGGTCTGAAATTTGCATTCTCCGAGACAAAAATAGGACAATACGTAAGCCCTTGCAGTTCCGTGTACGTATACAATGATGTGGAACTGTGTGAATGCGTACGAGCACATACAAGGCACGGGAGTCCACCCCTTAAGTATTCCTAAATTCTTTCTTTTTAAATACAAGTTTAGGGTCGCATCCGCTACTGGTAATTAATTATTAGCGATTTAACTTTAGTTAACATTACGTTTAGCTAAATAAAGTTGTGTGTTTCTGACAGAAAGAAATATTCCTAACCCACGATCCTCGAAATCACAGTCGACTGCTTTTCTTACACGACCAATGTTGTAATTCTCCTATTCGAATAGATTAAATTCAAAGCAACAATAATAGAGGTACGATTTGTTCGATTCTTCTGCGGAACCAACCAGAATCGTACCGTGTGCCAAGTTTAACTTTATCATGCATATGGAGAAAAAATTCGATCGATACGTTCTCCAACTAGAATATTCCATTTAGATAAGATCTGCTCTTGAGTGATATTTGATCAACGCCTTTCCCTGTTTTACAGATCCCGGATAGAGTTCAACGGACAAAATGATCACTCAAGCGAAACTATGGTGGAAATTTCTTCATTCCGGCGAACAGAAAGGCGTAAGACAAATTTTATTATTCTCCATGATTCGCTTTTTATTTCTTAACGGTACACATCGCAATAATGCATATGAAACTAACGTTGTGCTTTTACATACAATCCTTTGTAACTATAATTTGAGCAAAAATATTTATTCGACATTTTGTTAGGTTAAATTACCAATCTTTTAACTTCTCAACCTGATGGACATTATGATGAATACATTCTAATGAATATATATTATTTATAAAAAACGGATTTTTTAATATATTATATTAGACTGCGGATTTTTATGATTTATAGGGAATTTTAGTATGCAATAAAATACAAAGTGCACACAGTATGCAATAATATAAACAAAATGTTGATGGTAAAGTTCATATAATAATAATTCCAAAGTAAAAGTAAAAGTTCCTTTTGAGATTGAACTTTTGAAAAAATTTTATTTTGCATAAAGATCCGCAATATAATTATAATAAATTATAATGAATACATCAGACTGGTCTGTATTACTTTTCAATGATTTTGGAATCTATGTTATGCACGCCCTAAATACCTAATAGCTTGCAAATATGTAAAAAAAATTCTTTGTAAAATTTGAGCTCTTAATTTTAAATTTTTGCATTGACACATTCTGATCGATTATGTGTTTTTATAATTCTGGTAAAAATTTATGAAATGTTTTGAAACTTGGCAGAGTTATTACTAATAAGAATAAAAACGAGCCTAAAAATTTCAAATTTTTATTATAATATCCAAAATTCTTCGACTATGGTACTAATGGTATAATGGTACTAAGAAATGAGTAGATAAATACATCTTGCACCATAAATATTTGTGTTTGACATTCTTCATGTTTAGTTACTAACTCTTTGACTGCGAAGGTCGTATATGTATATTGCTCATAACTATTGTTATTGGATGAAACCTATTGATTATAGATTGCCACTAAAAAGGGTGAAATAAAATAATTGTTGGAAGAAAAATAATCTACTCTGAAAAAATATTAAAACTGCACTAAAAAATATAAAATAATTTCTAGTTAATTTATATGAATACTCACCAATTCTAGATATAATTGCTTAAAAGTATGAAATAATTTCTATTTCCTATACATTAAATTACATTCAACAATACATTAAATTTCTATTTCCTTTATATTAAATTATGTCATAGTCGGTGCAGAATTAAAAATTACTTACCTTCAAAATTACGAAACTTGGTTTAGCTTTTTGTCGGTGGGGCAAATTATATGCCCTTAAATTGTTGCTATCATTAAAAGAGTGCGGAATGGTCCAGTGAGTCAAGGGCTTCACTGACAATCCTGAGGGATCTGGCTTCGAATCTCCGCACCCCCTGACTCCGTTTTTTATTGAATTTTCTTCAATATTTGTCAAGAAGTGACAAAATTATAACTAGTGGCTTAGTTTAAAAAAAGAAATATAGATCCAAAATGGATGCCGTTTTTCGAGTTTCTGAATGTATGTGCTACATTCTCAAATTTGATCGGCGCCTCCACCAAATACTATACCAAACCTACTTAGACAGTATTTTCATAGAGAGAGTATATACATTAGCAGTAATCAATATTTCCAACCCCCGCAAAAAAGAATGCCTCAAACCTATTCAGACAGTATTTTCCTGTAGATAGTATATACATTAACTGTATGCAATACTGTCCCCTTCCCCCGCATTACCAAAACAAATACATCAAACTTTCTCAGACAGTACTTCCACCTATACAGTATGCATGTATACATTAACAGCATTTAATATTTCCGCCCTCGCCAAAGACTAACTCAAACAGGAATTAAACATTTTTAATTTTACGCCGACTACGAAATGGTTATTTAACACAATTCAATATAAAGGAAATAGAAATTTAATATATCAATCAATATAATTTAATACAAAGAAAATAGAAATTATTTCATACTCTTAAGCAATTATATCTAGAACTGGTAAGTCAAATCAATTAACTAGGAATTATTTCATACCTTTTAGTGCAGTTTTGAAATTTTTTTAAGTCTTTTTTCGATTACTTCTCGATTGGTCGACGCTTTCGCTAACGACCGCGAGTTTTTAGATCGATGTTCGCTCCGAGCGAGCGTGAACCTTCGAAATTGACCTCCGTAGGAACTAGTTCTTTCCTCTTTGTCGAATGCGATCAAATCTTCTCTCAACGATAAGGAAAATAACCCGTCTCTGGTAGTTTGCGACTTTGTTGAACTTGTAGCTGCAATTTAGATTACTGTTTGACGTTTAGTAGTAATTACGAACATTATACGTTGATACGTAAACATAATTAACGATAATTTATACTATTCGACGCAGGAAAATCACAGTGCGGTAAGTTACATAACTTGGGAAACTAAATTCGAAGTTAGTTTGAAACTGTTTGCGCTATTGTAAATAACAAAATCGAGGCTTAAGCTTGCTCCTCTTAAAATTGTGTGTTCAATCAATTTACAGGATATCTTTTTAATTTTTTTACAAAATTGTTTATATTATATTAAATAGTGCTAAAAGGTCCTGTTACATTTATTTTTTGTTTACTTACATGTTAATGGCAATTTATAATTAATTATAAGAAATCTCTGCCTTACATAATATTCTGTTAAAATCCTCTTTAAAAATTGCGTGTTTGTTGAATAAAAGAGCAACGATCTCCAATATTTACATTATTCCTATCAAACAGTGAAACATCAGATCGAACTTATTTTTAATCGATGAAAAATTGCAATTAAAAATTTCATGTCGCAAATTATTTCATCCAGACACGATTTCCTCTCACTATTAAACTTTTTATGAAACCTGAATTTTAGACCCTCGATCATTTTGTTTTGAACCAACAAATAAATCTTTATATATATCAGTGTGAGTTCTTTGAAGAAAATGATTTACAAGGTAAATTTCTTTATCATATTTAGATTGCGGATCTTTATGCATTTATAGAAAATTTGAACGTGCAAGAAATTACAAAATGCAAACAATATGCAAAAATATAAAAAAGATTGAATGTAAAGTTCATGTTATAATATTTGCAGAATAAAATAAATTCCTATTTAGATTCAATTTTTGTAGGCACGTTCGCGAAGATTTTACTTTGCATAAAGATCCGCAGTCTAATCATATTTTATTATTTTGTATTTTTTACTTGGAAACTTAATATATTTTGATATAGTGTATTGTACAACATATTGTAATGAGAATTGTGCGAGCAGAAGCACGTACAGAATAAGAACGTACCGCAAGGATTGATGCAAGTCAGCGCGTTATCGTTTGTAGAATTCATGCGAGAAGGTCGTGGAACTGGTTGGCCGTCTTTCGATCATTTTTAGCTGACACTAATTGCTAGCTTCGCGTACAGACCATAATTATTCGAACGATAGTAAATTTGAACTATATTCCCGTTTAGGAAGTTAATCTTGCAACGAAGGATGAGTTTACTTCCTAGAAGATCTCCCAAGATAGGAAAATGCGATGACATAAACCCCATTCGAAGTCTATTTCTATACCTAAGAACTCCTGTTAAGTCTAACTTTTCGAAATTACGAACGAATATGTTAGTTACTTAACTAATAATATACACTGCGCATCAAAAGTATACGAATTTTGTATACTTGAATTTTGAAAGTTTCAAAATCTTAAGACAATCTTTCAATTCAATTAAATTAAGATACAATATTGGACAAATGACTATTATTTATGTGAATAAATATAGCCACTAGAAGCAACAGCGGCATGGTCAGTAATTCGTCAGCCTCCTAATACCAGTTTTCGTTTTGTCGTAGATTCAATTTTGTATTCAATAAATTTTACAAGATATCTTTTTAACTACATTAATTTGTTTTCAATATATACATACAGTGAAGACCATAACTGTACCAATAACTGCAGATTTCGTATAATTAAACTTGCAAAAGTACATTACAAAACATTACAAAACTGTTTATATTATATTAAGGGATAACACCACTCTAGAGGCTGAGAAAAAGGCCTAACTTTGATAATTAATTTTGAGGGTATCGCAAGAAGCATAGGTTTTATTTTTACAGGATTTATTTAACACATATCGAAGTATAAACAAAAATTGTTTTAGTACAAAATGAGGACGAGAAAGCGAGTCTCCAAAATTGACTTTTTTTAAAACGCTTTCGCGGGAGGACGATTTTCTCGTTGTGTATAACATTTGGAACAAAAAACCAACAAATTTCATAATACATATACTGTTGGCTATAGAAGTACGTAGGGTTTTTTTTTTATTTAATATAAACTTTCGTTTTTGTTAACAATTTATTATTTATTTTTTTGCCAAAAAGTGAGTTAATGCGCTATTTCTACAATATTTGATATAAAAAAAAAGCCTACGTACTTCTATAGTAAATAGTATATAGATTATAAAAATTGTTAGTTGTTTGTTCAAGATTTTATGCGCAACGCTTGGAGAAAACTGTCCTCCTGTAAAGACGTTTAAAAAAAAAGTGAATTTTGAAGACTCGCTTTGTTGTCGACGTTTTGTACTAAAATTATAATACAACAATTTTTGTTTACACTCCAATATGTGTTAAATAAACCCTGTACAAAGAAATCCTATTCCTCTTGCAATACTCTCAAAATTAATTGTCAAAGTTAGGCCTTCTTTTCAGCCTCTAGAGTAGTGTTACCCCTCGCATAGTGCTAAAAGGTCCTGTTACATTTATTTTTTGTATACCTAAATGTTAATCGCAATTTAAAATTAATTATAAGAAATCTGTGGTTATCGGTACACTTATGCTCTCCATTGTACGTTAAACATAACTGATTTAAAAAAGAATCATTTGTGAACATTTTCTATATTCTATTTACTTTTACATATTATTCAACACGACTTTGTATACTGCGTATCAAAAGTATACAAATACTTGAATTTTGAAGGTTTCAGTATCTTAAGACAATTTTTCAATTCAATTAAATTAAGATACAATATTGGAAAAATGACTGATTGACTGAATGATTTGATTCCGTATTCAAATAAATTTTATAGGATATCTTTTTAACTTTCTCAATTTATAAGATAGGAGAAAATGCATTAGATCAAACTTACTTGGTATCAAGGGGCTCATAATCTGGTATAACCAAGTTTTCTGTAGGTGGAGGGGTCAACGAGATATGATCATCAATTTCGTTTTTTTAAATAGAATGCTATGGTTTCTTACTTACAGTTTGGTAAAGTGTTTCAAAACGAATACAGTGATCTATTATGAAGGTCATTCGAGGTCACCCAAAGTCAACTGCAATAGGAAATACATTGTCTTGGAGGACTTTTCGAATACTTGCGTATCACGTGTATGTATCACGTGACATGGGTCACAAAAGATAACGAAACATTCAATCACATTGTACGCTTACCCGCATCCTCAACAAACATTATTGGTAATTTGACTACCGTCTAGAGTACAGCTTCGTAATATTACGCGAAAAACCAACTACCAAACTTGACGTGCAAGAACATACAAGAAGAGCTTGCTCTGTAATACATAGATACAAATGAAATTTGCCAGGCAGTGTCATCGGTATTACGATTTAGATTATACAGGGTGTCCCAAAAATGTTGGAGGTCCTTGAAAGGGGTGGTTCGGAAGGTGATTTGAAACAACTTTTTCCTTTGCAAAAATGTCGAATGGGGCTTCGTTAAGTAGATATTAATAAAAAAAACTCGACCCATCAGAGCGCGCGGACACCATTGGAGCGGCCCCAGTAGCGAAGGCTACGCGCTGAGCGGCCGCGTCAATATCCTTCGATGCACGTCGAGTCACTTGTTCGGGTACGAGAGCGGCTACCTAGCGCGTAGACATCGCTACCGCGGCCGCTCCACCGGTATACGCGCGCTCTGATTGGTCAGTATTTTCCGTTAATATCTCCTCAACGAAGCCTCGGACAACAATTTCGTTAAGGAAAACGTTGTTTCAAATCACCCCCTGAACCACCCTTTTCAAGGACCTCCAACATTTTTGGGACACCCTGTATATCCGTGTTCATGGTCGCTATTTTGAACACTTGTAGTGGCAGTAAGTAAATAAACGTCCAAGTATTCGAAAAGTACTCTGAGACAATTTACTTTCTATTGCAGGTGACTTTGGGTAACCTGTAGTTACCGTTGTTATTTAGAATATTATATATTATATTATATATTTTCTTAAATTTGGATTCAATATAGTCTGCTTACGAAGCATGGATTTGAATGTACGCCTCTTGTAAGAAGGAACCCTGGGATGGTACAAAAAAGGTGCATTTTTTTGCATTGTGAATTTTTTGAGAACAAACGGAAATTTCTTCGGTAATAAGTTTCACCATATTCGAAAGAACGTTTCTTAGTGCATGCATCGTAATTCTTGTATATCTTGAATTAACATAGCTCTTGCGTTGTCGTTCTTTTACATAAGTATTCCGTGGTGACCACTCTATCTTAGTGCTGAATTATCCGAAATTCAAACCACACGCATTTTTGAATAGTGTATCAAATTAACTAAATGCTATCGAGAGTTCGTTTTTAGCCTAGTTATTTTTTGTACGTTAAAGCTGGTAGATCTTCGTGGCTAAAAATTGTTAATTGGAGATTTAGATGGTTATCATTTTGCATAAAATTACTTACTACTCTTCAAATCTTACACTTACTACTCTTTCAAATCTGCTCCGATTTGACAACGAAAGCGTGATTCAAAAAATATGATTTTTTGGGGACCTGTTAATAAAGCACTCGCGCGTACGAATCCGCGAACGGCGTTGACGTGGGGTTACTCGTTTAGCCTGCAGATGGGCCCGAAGTTGGAAGCGAGTTTTTAAAAAGAATCGACATTTTCGTATTTTATTGCCATTCACGCGGGAAAAAGACATCAAAACTGTGTCACCCCGATGCCCTGGACGGTTGGACATGTAATCCACGCAACGTGACAACGTTCCAACCCTTACACTTGGGGGTGGACCATCCCTACCTCTGCCCCCCCCCCTCCCTTCAGTTCGGGGGCAGTTTTCGAAGCGGAACCTTTGTCGACATTCATCCTTAACGTATCGAGAACAAACATGGTGAATTTCATCGCCCTCCGATGTGTGGAAGTGCTCCCTTACGAAGGGGGTTCAAAAGTCGCGAACTGTTCCACCCCCCAAGTGGTGCCTATGGGGTGCACGGTATGGGTGATAGCATCTTTTGGATCAGGGGAGTCCAGAGAATGCATTGAGTCCAAAATCGAGACCATCGTCCAAAAATTGTGGATATTAGAGGGGGTGGGGGGTTATGGGGGGTGGGTTTGTCCTAGAGGGATTTCAAGGGGTGCATTTTGTAGAGGGTATCAAGGAGAGTCGCCCCAAAGGTTTTTTTGAATTTTTCAACCCCTTCCGTCATCCCTGGCCTGTTTCAAAGCGAATTAACCCCTTCGCGTCAACCCTCGCCAATGCAACTTTGCACACGCCTAGGAGACATTTCAAAAATACTCCTCACGCAGTTTCATTTCAATCGGTTAAAAACTCCCATAGTTACGACGGTTTGAAAAAGTGTCCCACTAATTGTTTGAAGCAGTGTAGTTCCGTATTAAACCTATCGTATAAAACCTTTTACTTTCCGTATAAACCCTTTTTTCTATTGTATGTGCCTAAAAGTCTTATTTCCTTTACGTTATCAAATATATTTAGTCATCGTAAAACGCCCATATTTTATTTACAACCTTCAACAAAAAACACACTGTTATAAATATACTGCCTCTTTGTTAATCTAAGTTAGTCATTAGTAGTATTGACATATAAAACTAACCAACTAACTAGGAATCAAAGGGTTCTAACGGTTTCATTCGCAGCAATTTTGTCCACTCTTAGCATAGGTCGTTTTACGAGCACGAGGCCTACCGATTTCGTGATAAACCAATTACAATTTC